CTCACCCTATTGTCTCCCCCGTCTCTCCCAGTGCCCCCCAGCGTGTCCATCTCGTTGGTGCCGTTGAGCTCCCAGCCCGGCCCCAGCCCCTGCTCTGCTCCGTGATGGATTTCTACCCTGCGCCGGTGCAGGTGAGGTGGTTCCAGGATGGGCAGGAGCTGCTGGAGCACGTGGTGGCCACCGACGTGGTCCCCAACGGGGACTGGACCTACCAGGTGCTGGTGATGCTGGAAATGCCCCCCCGGCGCGGGGTCACCTACACCTGCCAGGTGGAGCACGTCAGCCTGGAGCACCCCCTCAGCCGGCACTGGGGTACGGCCCGGCCCCCCAGCATGGGGGGACACTGGCAGGGGGGCCAGGGGGCTGGGGGAGCACTGGGGACACTGGGAGGCACTTTGGGGGGCAATGGCAATGGAGAAGCTGAGGAGGAGGTTTGGGGGTCCTGGGAGGGCTGAGAGGAGCTGTGGGTAGTCCCGGGGGCAACTGGGAGGGAGTTTGGGGAGCCTGGGTGGGATGGGAGGGAGGTTGTGGTGGGCTTGGGTTGACTGGGAGGGGGTTGGGGAAGTGCTAGGAGGGCTGGGAAGGGACCAAGAAGAGTTTAGAGGAGTCCTGGGGGTGATGGGAGATGGGTTGGAGGGTCCTAAAGGGGATGGGAGGGGCTTTGTGGGAACCCCGAGGGGCTGGGAATGGAATGGCAGAAGGTTTCAGGGGATCCTGGGTGGGCTGGGGGAGACAAGGATGAGGTTTGTGGGGTCCTGGGTGGTCTCTGGGAGGTTTTGGGGGTCCTGACCCCCCCGGCTCCCCCCAGAGATGCCACAGGACACCGTCCATACCAAGATCCTGGTGGGGGTTGGGGGCTTCGTGTTGGGTTTCGTCTTCCTGGCGCTGGGGCTCGGCTTCTACCTGCGGGAGAAGGTAAAGGGGGGTCCCCAAGGGTCGTGTCCCCCCTTCCCAAGAGCGTGTGTGCCCCCCCTGCCCCCCCAGCCCGCTGTCACCCCTTTTTTCTCCCCACAGAGCTCCTGAGCCGGCGGTGGCCGCAGCCCCTCCCCGTGGCCTCAGGCCAAGCTGGGACCCCCCAGTCCATCCCCACCCGGAGTTTGGGGGGTCGTGTGTCCCCCCCGGCCCTGCTTTTGTTCTCACACCAGCTGCCTGCTGCTCCCAGTGCTCCCAGTAAAGCTTCCCAGTTCTCTGCAATTCTGGTGTTGAAGAGCAGGTGCCCTCCCAAAGCCCCCCAGAATCAGCTTATGCAAATTGTACAATGGTTGGCACCCATTGTCTTTCTGCTTCCAGGAGTGTGTATTTTTCTGCCATGTCTGGTTCAGTGTTTTCGCAGCTTAATGGCTCAAACTGTGTCTGCTTTGTTTAAAGAAAAAGGGGGAAGTGTAGGGATTTTTAGTGCTAACACAGAGGATATGCTACTGTGAGAAATAATCTTATGTTTCAACTCTGAAAACATGATCTGTTGTTCTGATGGCCTTCTCATGGTACAGGATGGGAAAGATCTACCAAGAGAAACAACAGCAAAACCAGACGTAGAAAACAAGGTCTCAGTACCGGCTCTCAGAGTGGGAAAGGACATAAAGAATGTTAAAGAAACAGAGCTGATAGAAGAGTATTGTTAGAAAACTGGATCAAAGACTGCTGCTTGATTCCAATCAACGGCGCTCTCT